AGGGGAGGGGGATGAGGGAGGGAGGGAGGGAGAACAGAAAGGCCTCCTAGTAATATGTGTGGTTATAAGTATTTCGTACAAATCCTAGACAGAGTTGATTCTAGACCTTCTTTAGTTCAGACAAATAAAAAGAAAGAGAAAGAATGTAATGAATTTTTAGCTCATCTGTACCAAACTACTATTTTTTTAGTGGCAATATAATATAACTTGATTTAAAGCCTCTTTCTACCCATCAAAGAGCACTACGCCCTTTTCAGCCCAGGTTGGTCGTGACAGGCTGGGTCAAATCAGCCTGCCTCCAAAATGTTATTGATCTAATTTAATTGTGTCGATAGGGGCACAAAACATCTGCAAAGCTAAGCAACGTGTTGTATCTCAGAATGCCATATTTCACCAGGAAATAATCTTTGGCAGCAAATATGGGACACGACTATACTTTCTAAGAAAATGTCTGTGACAATCCACGTGCAATATTGTAGTCGTTACCACCATCCCTGATGTTTAAAAAAATATATTTCGTTTGTCTGTTCTGTAGAAATCAATTTACCCCCCCCCTCTTCTGAACTTACTTGACTTACTACACCCATCCGGGGTCCGTACTCTCTGTGGTGCCACTTCTTGAGTCGCAGTGACGACGTGAGACGTGTTCACTTATTTAATTCTTAGACTGGGGGCGGGAGTGGGGGATACGAAATCTACTTTTGCCGATTCTCCAGGAGGAGAAACTAACAGTTTGTTTGCCCCAGTTTCTCTGACATCAGCCACACACACACACACACACACACACACACACACACACACACACACACACACATCACAACTGCAGATTAAACGGACTTTCTGCACTGCTCTGAACTTTAAAAAAGAAATTATGGTTTTGTGCGCCAGTTAGGCTCTAAAAATTTGGTGCACTGGAAAATACGATAAAAGTCTACTCTATCCCCCTCAACCCCTGGCGCATTCTCTAAATAAGTTGAATCGTTTTCTCCGTATGACGTCACGGCAACCCCTTTGTTGGCGCCACAGAAATTAATAGAGAGAGACCCCGGGTATGCGAAGTTGGTCAAGTAAATTCAGAATGGAGGGCTGAGGTAGACCTTTACTGAAAAGAAAGCGTATACCTTTAGAATTTTCTTGTTACTCCAAATTGTCCAAACCACCCAAACATAGTTAGAATCTTATGATGTGTTGCTTAATTAAGGTTATTGCCGGTGATCTGATCAGAAAGTTTGAGAGAAAATCTGTTCTTTCGTTCATATGAAATGTAGTAATCTTGAGACACGACAGTTCACTCCCTTCCCAAGCCCGGGCGTTACGACATTATTAGATCTACTTCAGCTCCAGGATCTCAATTGTCAATATTGTCAACAGCTTCAGAATTACGTCATGAAGACTACAGCCCAAAGAAACGAGGAAGGTAAAACACAGGAAAGCAAAAGTGGCTGAGGCCACTTGTTCAATTTCCTGCGAAAGATGTCTCTACAAAGTAATATATAAGTTGACTGAAAACAGTGCGAGCATTGCAATGAGCCGTATGTGTGTGCTAGTTTGAAAGATTCTGGGATAGAAACAG